TATCATACTTCGAAGTCATAATAGTAGAAGTAACTCAAAGTAGTTTCACTTATCTTTAAAATTCGTCCCAAATAAAACATGTAATAAACTTTTCTCAGTTCCCGTTATCTTTGTTAAAAGTTGTGTTAAACCCAAGTAGAGTCTTGACCTTTGAAATTTGAGTAGAAGTGTTGACTCTAAGTTTTCTAAAAATGCTATCAACACAAGCCAAATTCGTATTCTCTTGCCCTGTGATTTTATACATATTCTAATTCTAAGTTAGAAAGAGAAAGAGAGAGTTGATTAACAACCCAAAAACCCTTTTATAATAAAATACAATTGATTAAAACTCTGATCCACATCATTGTTACCTCTAAAGTGGTTAACAATCGATTTTTGCAAATCAATCTTGACCCCGTGACTCACGTGACGATCGTTAAGAATCTTAACGATCGAATTGAAGAGTAAAGCCCAGTACACCTGAACTTAAGAAGAAGAATCGTTTTTAGTCTTCAATCGAAGCTCATAACCTACTGCTATAAACATAAGTCAAGATTAGACTTATCTTGACCTCCAAATATGCTGCAGCAAGACTTAACAAGACTCGGACCAAGTCTCTTTATGCCTCTTTCTGCCTGCCAAATTGAAGTCTTAGAGTCTTTAACCAGAAGATTAGTAGTTGTAGTATGTAGAGTTAGCTAGTTCTAGCCTTAACCGACTAAGTTACCCCTTTTCAACGTACTGTTAGTATGTACTTTTACCTGCTTTTGGTAATAGCATAACACAACTTTTAAAGTTGCTGCAGTATTATTTATTTAGATGTCTTCGATGTTATATCAAGCCTTCAAACAGGCTATATGCAGTTATTTATTTCATATATGTAGAATAAAGATAAAAACTTCGGCACGTGTGGATTTTATGTCACAGATCCTATTAATAAATTTAAATCTTCTAGTGATACTTATTCAATAACTACATGATCAAATTCGGGAAAAGTTTTTTTATTTTAATTCTATATCAGTGTAGAATTAAAATAAAAAAAAATTAATTGAATTTGAATGGCAGGTTGTCAAGAAATATTCATTAAAAATTAAAAAAAAAATGGCCGCAACTTCTTTTCTTCAAACATCTGAGCTTTGAACGAAGATTACTCAACACTTACCTAATTAAACTTGATCAATTTTTTTTATTTTGATTCTATGAGCTTATAGAATCAAAATAAAAAAAAAATTGATCGAGTTTAATCAGGTAAGTGTTGAGTAATCTTCGTTCAAAGTTCAGATGTCTTAAGAAAAGAAGCTGCGAGCATTTTTTTTTTAATTTTTAATGAATATTTCCTGACAACCTGCTATTCAAATTCGATTAATTTTTTTATTTATTTTAATTCTACATATATATAGAATTAAAATAAAAAAAAATTTACTGAATCTGATTATGTAGTTATTGAATAAGTATCGCTAGAAGATTTAAAAAACGGTTAAATTTATTAATAGAATTTATACGTGCTATAGTATATGCAAGTTAGAAAAGGTTCTACCCGAATTATGCATCTTGTGTACCCGATGTGATCAATGATCGGCAGTGATCAGCATAACCTGGCACTGAATCCATACGTGCCCATTAGCCAATCAAAATAACTTTAAATATCACATGACAAGAGCATGCCCTTTGGTAGTGCTCGACAAAATCAAACAAAAACTCAATTATTGAGTTTTTGAATCTATCGATTTATAGCATTGTGCTTCAATTATAAAATCTATGTTTATTCTAATCTGATTTTAAACTTTATATTAGTTACTATGAAGTCTAAAGTAAGATCAGATTCCTGTTAGATTTATGCCAAGTACTACCCTTTGGACTTTAGGCATGTCTATATAGTATAGATGTCTTTTACTGTCCAGTAATGTAAAAAAAAGAAAACCGTAGAGTTAATATATTAGCAATTTATATAACTTGAGAAGCGTACGTAAAAGTTGTCATTAGTATAAGTTTTTATTAACGCTTACAGTAAGTAGTCTATTACACGAGTCTCGAGATTTGATTTTTCATGTGGTTCACCTAAATTTCAAAATCAGACGCGCATACTTTTAAATACTGTATGTATCAAATATATTATTATTATTATTATTTAACTTTTTTAATGATTCGTGATTATAAATACTTGTTCATCAGATAAATTTAAAGCTTTTATGAAATTATTTTTTTGATTGCAAATAAATATATAAAAAAATTATTACTACGTAAAATATAAAAAGATCTAACTATAAAAAATCGAACAATAACGATTTCTGTTTATGGCCATACAATAGATTATTTTCCATTTATAATATTAATTATTATCTGAGCTTACTACGTAAATTTGAGCTTACTACGTAATATTTAAAATTTAATTGCCTTAATCAATTTTTTTTATGCTGAAAATGTCTTATGCTACTGTATATTTTTTTTGATATAACTTAATATAATTCGTGTTTCCTAGCTGAATCTATATAACAGATAAATAATAAACTTGATAATTTTTCTTAGCAGTACTTATACATTATATATTTATATGTATATGTTGTGCGTGAAACTCGAATGGGTATGAATTTGAAATTGAGTTGCGTCAGACCGAAGTTTGATTTTGAGATGCGTCAGATCAATTTATCTACTATGTGTCATTAAAATCGATCGATTTTAAAATAAGAATTTTTTTACGTACGTGCTCTCCGATTTCGTATTCTAATTTGTGCTATCATTGCAGAAGCCATCTTTGCTGTATAGGTCTTTACAATTCTTTGTAATACTTGACGTCCTGTTATTTTTCGTTCGTTAAATTTTGCAATGGTTTTGAGGTATATAAAGAAGAATCAATCTAAATAAATATAACGATAAATTATATTATAATGAAGTTTTCGTGTGATAAATAAATACACCATAATATTTTAGATCGATAATCGATATAAAATACATAAAACGGTATGTGAAGAAAATTTAAGCGAACCAATTTTTATGACGCTTATTATGTGTATTTCAGTATGATCTGATGCGCTTTAGAGTTAAATTTTAATTTTACGCGACTCAATTTTAAACTTACACCTATTCTAATCTGAGGTACGACATATATATAATAATATATACTGTACTCATTTAACTACTTATAGGTTGTATTTTTTTTCTATACATATTAGAGTATAAAAAAAACAACTATCATTATTGTGATTTCTATTACCATACACAATCAACTGGTAAAGGATTTATCGTATTTTTATATACAGTACTGTATGTATAAATTAACTAGTAACAGGTAAAGGATGTATTGTAGTTATGTTACCTTATTACGATTATACGTACGAAAGTTAAATTTCCAAATTGGTTAGTTTATTATGATGTACGTACGTACAAATGTTTTAGAAAATTCCACATAACATATTAAAACAGATTAACTTTAATGAATTTTCCTTTTATTTTGTTAAAGTTTTATATTTTTATTTTTTTTTCACCTTCTGTAGCGAAATTCTCAAACTTTACTTACTGATCTGTTGCGTTACCAGATGGATGATTTTACTATGCCTAATACTGTAATATATATCAGAATATACCGACTATCGTCCAAATAAACCAGTTATTTATTGCACTAAACGATTAAATTTGCGATGATCTCTTTTGCCGAAATACCGCATCCAAAAAAGGAAAAATTACATTTTTTAGTATATACTTTTGTAAAAAAAACATTGTCAGGCTGTTTTTTTTTTTGAAAATTACCGAATTATACGTATGATGTTTATTTTACAGTATATACTGTATATAGTAGTATTTATAGTTAAGCATATATATATATATATATATATTTTAATATTGAAAATGTCTTTATTCTACAGTATATTCGATCCATCTTCTACATTTGTTTAATCTCTTTTTAGAATGCTATCATATAATATGAATAGGCAAAAAATTTTTACATTCTTGCCAACTCATACACTAAACGATCCATCCAAAGATTTATCACATCAAAATATTCAATCAGTAGGGAAAAAAAGATCTCGCGCTGTTATTGTGTGTAATGAATGTAAGAAATCAAAAAAAAAGTGTATAGGCTGGAATCAAAGTGTAATACCTTTTATTCCATGTAGCGGATGTTGTAAAAAAGGTATTGAATGTATCCTTCCTCCTCGTTGCAACTTATGTCAAAAGAAACTTGATAATACTGGTTTTTGCTCAAATATAAATTGTAAAAAGAAGAAAGGCAATTCAGAAAATACGTTTAATGAGAAAGAAAAAGAGAAGACCCAATCGTCGAAAGATATCTTGGTTAAAGACGAGAATTTTGAAAAGTTAGAGAAGGAGATTCAATTATTGAAAAATGATATATTAGCGAAAGACAAATCATTGAAAGATGATATATTAGCAAAAGACGAAAAGTTGAAAAAGTTGGAAAGAGAAATTCAATCATTGAAAGATTGTATCTTGGTAAAAGATGAAAATTTTGAAATGTTGAAGAAAGAGATCCAAACGTTGAAAGATGAAAATTCTGAAAGGTTGAAAGAAGAGATTCAGTTGCTGAGAGACGATACCTTGAAAATCAAAAAGATTGAAGAAAGAATTAAATTGTTGGAAAACGATAATTTGATGAAAGGTAAATTTTATTTCTAGTTCAAAAATGATCGATTGTTGTTTGGAAATTATATACAGTATATACAGTATATATATATATATATATCACTTTCCATTCCTTCATTCAAATTACTGTAGATCTTTTTACCAACTAACGAGAGTTTGGATCCGTGCTTTCTGTATCTCTTTCCTAATTTAGATAATTTTATAATTTATATGTATATATATATAATTTATTGTTAAGTTTAAAACTGTTGTTTCGAAGATTATAAAGTTTTCGTTTTCTTTTTTTTTTCTTTTTTTAGTTTGCTGACTTCTAAGGTTAAGAGATATGTATTATACTGTATATAAGATTAAACTTGTAATGATTTGTGATAAAAAGTTATGAAATTCTAAAGGAGAGAATCGTAACAGTGTGGCTTTATGGGTGTAAAAAAAATTTTTTTAAGTATAGTTTTATAGATAGAAAAATTATGAAATCGTAAAATAGAGAATCGTAAAGTATAGAATTCTATTGGTATGGTCTTATGAATAAATAAGTAACATGCTACGTATATACCACTGTATTTAGCAATTTAATAATATATATATATATTGTACGTATTTAAATAAAATTTATCATTTTTATTACGTATCTATCTGATGAAGTTGCAGCATTTATATCCGGGAATGGAAATATTAAAATATTAAATGCTTGATCTATATTTTTTAGATTTATTAATCACATAATCACATAGATCGATAAGCTAATTTTCAATGCTTTAATATTTTCTAAAATTTTTAACAAAATACATACTTGTTAAGAGTGATACATGCAAGATTAGAGTTAAGTTGGCTAATCTTAAAACTGATTGTTGATGAAATTGACTATAACCTTAGTAGAGGCGAACACCAAGATCATTTACATGCGTACATACAGAGTCCTAATTTATGGAAAAGTCTTTAAAAACTTACCTAGAGCGACCGACCAGGAAATCTCAATTCAGGTCCAACAGCGAGTTCAAACCACATTGAAATTAAATTCAACTACGTGTCATGTTATAGTCCACTTTTGTTTTTTTGTAGTTAATGTGATGTAGGGTAGTCCATAGCATTGTTACTTAATTTTATACAGACACTCATTTTTTTCTAAGAATGCGAAATCTTCCGCAAGCATAGAAAATCTTTGAATCAAACTTATAGAGGTTGGTAAACCATTCATTTTAACTGTTATTTAGATCAAATCACCAAATTTCTGGTTTATTATTGTGAATAGTTCACTTATTATCTAACTTTGGCCAAACATATGTAGTTATATTGTATATAACTTCATTGATTATAACAATTTTTATTTTTATTTAACTTAAAGTTTTAATTGTCACGGCTTATGCTGAAACCTGGGCCTATTTTTGATAGAAATTTAAAAGTTTTGCGATGCTTTTTTTTTTAGGATTAGATTAGGATTTATGGTGTATATTGATAATTTATTCTATATCTTCAAATCAACTCCAACTTTTACGTGTAGCGTCAGCCATGACATTAATTTAAAATACGCGTATAACAAATAATGATAATATAAAAAAAAATTGCAGTATAGTATATAATTTACTGTAAAATTATCTAAATCAAACTCTTACCAAAATTTGATCTATTTCAAATTCTAGGTTACAATATCCAATTTTTATCGTTGTCTTACGTTTGATGATTTTAGATATATAAATTGTCGATCAAATAATATACATAAAATCAGCCCATTTGTAAAAAAAAAATTTTTTTCTCCAAAAAATAATTATGCCGGAAAAATTGAGTAAAGAAAAAGTTAAAGAGGTAATTAATAGCGACATTAGTCGATTCAATTTTAATGCAACTAGTTTTTCTATTTCATAATCTCCAAATTATTGACTTTGTTTAATCATGATGTAGACCTTCAAAAAATTCGATTATAATAATAATGGCCTTCTGTCCCTTGCGGAAATTGATAAAGCTGTAATAGAACTCTACCCACAATTTGCTGACGAAAAGCCTGTCCTCATGCGAGCTTATAAAGCTGCGGATGTCTCAAAGGTTTGTCTAGTAGAATTTATATTATTTATATTGCACGTATTGAATAAACTTTCTCATAATGTTAAATACATATTTAGGATGGATACGTTCAACTTACCGAATTTGGCCGCCTCATTGATCTTTTATATTATTATGATGAGCTTTATCATCTTTTCCAACAATTAGATAAAAATAAAGATAAACGCATCGGTTTTGATGAATTTAAAAAAGGTCATGAACTTATAGGAATAACTACTAATAATACTGCCGAACTTAAGAAAAGTTTCGCTGAAATCGATACAAATGATGGAGGATATATTCTCTTTGAAGAGGTGAAGATTTTTATTTACATTAGCTGAATATATATATATATATTTTTTTGACTTTTTTGATATATTAAATAATTTCTATTTGAATTTTCAGTTTTGTATCTATGCCGCAAAGAAAAAATTAGTTGAAAGTGAAGCGAATGCTTAGGACAAAGCTATGTCTTATTTAATCTTGTAAATTTGGTTCTAGCAATTTTTATTATATGTAAACTATATATATATTATATGCAAAATTTGCATACTCTTTTATAACTAAATTTCATACTATATATATATTATCATTTGAGTTTCTAGGTTTCATTTTTGTATGTTAAGCAACAATTCATAGTTTTATTCATTTTTTGCTAAATATTATTTAGAGATTTGTAACTTGTTCAAGATGATCATGTGTATTCTAATAATTAGAATCATTTTACTGAGACGAATTCATGAATTATACAATTTGTCAATTTTTTTTTTTTTTATATAATGGTAAATAAATTCGGAGGCCATAAAATGCTATGGATTTGTTTTAATTAATAAGATCTTTGGATTTATTTGACAAATTTATATAAATAAAGATTGAATTAAATAAGGTATATCTTAGTAGTATCGTGAATTTAAATAAATATATTTTAAATACATCGATTGACAAGATTTTTATACTTTCTAGTTAGCATAATTAAATTGAATAATGATTATTGTTATGAATTTGAATAGATTATTTAAACACATTGATTAATTTACACTCATCGGTTAAAAATTAGCACGAATAAATGAAATTGAATTTCATGGTACTGTAATCGCTATAAATTTGAGTAGACTATTTTTAATACATCGACCAGCAAAGACCTTCACACTCCTCAAATACTGTAAAAATACGTGAATAAAAAAAAACCAGTAAATTAATGCTGACAAAAATGTCTTAAATAGATTATCCGAAATTAAATTTGAATAGATTATCCGCAAGATGATTAACTATCCATTTGATTGGTTGTCGATCCTTGAATTTTTATTGGCTGATTAGGGGTGAACGTCCTATCTGCTATCAAGCTATATGAAAATACAATCGATTATAAGAAAAATCGCCAAC